AAAAAAAAAAAAAGAAAAAAGAAAACTTGGTTCACTGGGAAAAGTAATAAGACAGACAAACTTCTGAGAAGTCTAGGTAAAAAGAAGAAGCAAATAACATTTGAAACAAAAATAGGTATATAATCAAGATTTTAGAACAAGATTGTTTTAAATTACAGGAACTTTATACTAATAAATTTTAACATCAAGATTAAAAAGATTTTCAAAATATGAATTACTAAAATTTGCTTAAGAAGAATGATAAAAGCTGAAGAAACAAAAATAATAGAGGAGAATTACAAATTATTTCTAATATACCTTTGTTGATCAGATAATTCCTACATTGTTTAAAATCTTCCACATCACAGAGAAATAGCAATACCTCCCAGCTCATTTGAAGTTTACATACCTCTCATACAAAAATTGAACAAGAATGGTGCAAGAAACGTATAGATTAGTCTCATGTTTGATCCTTTACAGAAAGTTGTTCATTATATCTTGTTTTGGAGAATAAAAGAGGTCTGTTGTAGAATAGTCATGTAAAGTATTATTCCACTGGTATTTTTTAAATACTGTATTTGTGTCTAAATATATGTCTCGTTTTATATGTATATCAGTAAGATGTACTTTGAAAAAGGGGTCTGGAAGGATACACATAAAATTGTGGATTGTTTTAAAGGCATCTTATTATGGGTTAAGTATTATTCAAGATGCATTATTTTTTTAATTACATTTGAGTCTTGCATCAAAATATTTATAATACTGTTCTCCAAACTGAATAATATTTGTAGAATGAAGAAAGAATTAAAGAGAAGAGAAGGCACTTGGGAGATAGCAAGCACTTTTGTCCAGTGGTTCTCAAAGAAAACTTCATCCTACAGCCAGGCAGCATAGAAGAAGCAGCTAAATATCGAGAAAAGATCTACTACTTTTCAAGTCCTGAGGCTAGAGAAAAGTTTCTGGAGCATCCTGAGAAGTACGTGGCTCATAATGAGCCATTAAAGGTGAAAACAATACTCCTATCCCAATAATCACTCCTGAGTACTTGTTCAAGGACTTCCTGCCAACCCTCATCATTTTACTTAATAGTGAAGTCCCCGATCTGATATTAACAATATGGTGAAACTATCTAAGTTCCAAGAAGAACTTTTTGGAATATGCATAAAATAGTTATCTATTTTGATTTTTATAGTAATGCCTTGTGTCAAACCAACACGGACTATCTGTCTTTTTAGCGGAAGTAAAAAGACACAGCTGAATTTATTGCTTATATGTTAAGGGCTAGCTGTGCTGGTTAGTCCGTGTAGAGACTTCAGAGCAGTCTGCTGATCTTAAGACAGGGGATGAGTGGGATTCAAGGATTGGTGGACTTTCAGTAGGTTGACATTTGTAGAAGTGTGGTTACTCAAGTTCACACTCAGAGGCATGATCATAGGGGCACGTCTGTGCCTGACTTGGTTGACTCTCAGGAGCAAGGGCTGAACTGGCTCATTGGATTGAAAAAGAGTCCTGTTATATGGCTCTGAAGCAATCCATGTTTTCCTAAATTTGTGGTAACACTTTTTATTCTTATTTGTTTATCACCAATAATAAAAGAGCACACTGTGGTAATATTTTATCCATTTAAAAAATAAAGCACGCACATAATTGCACCAGGTTTAGACCAGAGCTTTCATTTTTAATTTTATTTTCTCACCCTATTCTACATGGATGTATTTTCTTTCTAGTGTATATAATATTTTATTATCTGTTTTTTTACTTAACATTGTATCAATGAAAGTTTACATATTTCTACATAGATCTCATAATGCTTAATTATTTAACATACCATTTTAACATCTAATTGTTAGACATTTTTCACAGTATTTTTCATAGTGTGATTTGTCATTGTGGATATGAATTGTGGATAGTAATTCCACATTTTGGATATCAACATTGTGGATAATAATTAAGAAATCTTTGGGCCTGTCATTCTTTTTTTCTCTTAAATTATTTTATTAGTATAATTCCCTAGCATGGGATTACAAGATCAAAATATACAAATCACAATAGATTGTCACTTATACTTTTGAGAACACCAATGCCTTCTTTCTTCTTCTTTTTTTAGTTAATTAAGCTCCACCCTCACAGTGGGGCTTGAACTCACAGCCCCAAGATCAAGGGTCACATGCTCTACCAACTCAGCCAGCTGGGTGCCCCTGACACGAGTACTTTCTTAAATAGAACATATGTAACATATAGATCATGATTTAAACTCTTCTGAAGTCCATTTCCATGAACTTCAATTTTTATGTGGTACCCAGGCAGACCATTGAAATATGTGGATGGTTGTGGCTTCTGATGCTGCTGGTGTTGTGAAGTGATAATTCAGTCTTAGAGAGGGCAATCAATAGGCCTAATGTTTTCTAAATTACCCAAAATTCCTTTTCTTCACTCTCCTCCTACTCTACCTCTCTCCTGTGGCAGGCTCCTCCAATAAGAATATGCCTTCTGGGCCCACATGGCTCTGGTAAAACTGTCTGTGGAAGATACTTAGCAGAAAAATTGGGCATTTTTCACATTCAGTTTGAAGAATTTCTTCAAGAAAAACTAATGCTCAAAACTGGAAAGAAAATAGGAACTGAATTTGAAGAAGATTCTGAGGAAGAACAGTTTGCAAAACAAGAACTTGAAGAACTTGCCATTCAGGCCAATGTCAAGATTGAAGAAGAAAATACAAAGAAACCGGTAGTAATATTAATACTCTATTTGCGGATAATTATGCTTACCGGTATTACTTTTGGAAGTAGAATATAAGCAGTATAAAACTCTATAAAGTGAGTTAGGTCATCCTCCCCATATGTTATTTACAAATTTTACTGCTCATCTAGGATACAAAATGGTAAGTTTTACATGACTCCAGTAAAAATCTGAACAGCTTTCCCTGACAGGACTGTTTATAGCATTTATTTGGGACTATGTTATTTGATGTCTGACCTAGACTATAAGGTTTTCCAATATCATGTTCTCTGTTTTCTAACAAATACAAAAATCTGCCCCAGTACCAGCAGAGATCTCAAAATATTAATTTCTAATGATGCATCATAAGAAATTTTATGTCTTTTAGATGGTTTTTTCCTGGGGTTGTAAAGAGAAAGTTCTTCATTCAAACTCACTTATTTTTAGAGAGAGAGAGCGTGCGAATGGGAGAAAAGAGGAGAGGGGCAGAGAGAGAGAAAGAAAGAGAGAGGGAGGGATGGAGGGAGGGGGGGAGAGAGAGAGAGTCTTAAGCAGACTCCATGCTCAGCATGGAGCCTGACACGGGGCTCAATCTCATGACTGTGAGATCATGACCTAAGCCAAAATCAAGAGTTGATGCTTAGCGGACTGAGCCAACCAGGCGCCCCATATCTAACTCACTTTTCAATCATTTCTGATATAGCTAGACCCTTTTATTCTCAAATGATCCCCTGTAAATGGACCCATATAGATTGTATTCCAGATGACTGCCTGGCTCGCCCATCCTTTAATCAGGATCTAGGTTGAATAATTATAAGATAAATGACAAAAATTTGTTAAGCCTTGTGGGTGTGTGATATAGATGGAACAAGGTTTTAGCAAAAAGTAATGAGACAGATATCCGGAGGCCATGTGTGAAAGTCAGTCATGCTAATCACTAGTAACTCCTCTTAGCTATAACATATAATTTAATATTTAAAACCATATTAAATATTGATTTAAAGAAAAGGGCTCAAGTTTTAAAATGTTAACAAGTAGCGGTATTAAAAATGACCTAAAAAAAAAAGGTCTCATCCTAACCAACTATGTAATGTATAGATTATTTATTAATACAGAGTTTTAAATTTTTTGTTTTGTTCTCTGATTTTTGTTTTAGTCTCCAGAAGTACAATTTACAGAAGAAGAAGAAGCAATCAGATTAAATCTAATGGAAAATGAGCCACTGCCTCCCGAAATTCTTGAAACAATTCTTTCTGAGTGGTGGCTTAAGGAACCAATGCGGTATCTTATTTTATATAGAATTATACGATTATTGACTTTCATTTTCTTTATTCTTAAAAGTTAAAAATGTAATCCAGCATAAATTTAAGAAGTTTTTTTTTACTTTCTTGTAAATGAGTGATTGTACACATTAAAAACATTTGGGAAATTAGTTTAAAAATACTGGTGCCAGGGGCCCTACCCCAAAACAACTGAATCAAAATTTTTAGAAGTGTGACGGTAAGGGGCGCCTGGGTGGCTCAGTCAGTTAAGTGTCCAGCTTTGCTCAGGTCATGATTTCACGGTTTGTGAGTCTGAGCCCCAAGCAGGGCTATGCACTGGTAGCATTAAAGCCTGCTGGGGATTTTGTCTCCCTCTCTCTGCCCCTCCTCTGCACAAGCTTGTGTGCGCGCTCTCTCTCTCTCTCTCTCTCTCAAAAATAAATAAATAAACATTGGAAAGAAGAAAGGAAAGAAAGAAAGAAAAAGAAAGGCAAGAAAGAAAGAAGGAAGGGAGGAAGGAAGAGAAGAGAAGAGAAGAGAAGAGAAGAGAAGAGAAGAGAAGAGAAGAGAAGAGAAGAGAAGAAAAAAGAAAAAAGAAAAAAGAAAAAAGAAAAAAGAGTGTGAAGTTGAGACCCAGGCATCAGTAGTTTTGAAAGCTCCCAGCTGATTCTAATGTGTAGGCGTGGCTGACTACCCATATTCTAAACTCACTCACAGTAATGATGGGCTGGACTCTTTTCCTTATAGCCTTTCACCAATTACTCTTAAGACCACTTAATAGCTGTCCATAGTATTATCCCTTTCTTAAAAGCCAGGAACAAGCCTGACCTCAAACAGGACAAGTTTAGGAATCTCCAGGGCATCACAGTTTAAAACTTCACCTCAATTTCCTAACCAGAATATCTTGCTTTGGTATCCACCAGAAGAAAGAGAAGTAGCAAACACTTACATGGAACTTACTTTGTGCCAGGTACAGTTCTACTATATTTTATTCACATTAACTTGCTTAACCCTCACTACTATCCTATGGAATAGAAACTTTTATTATCTCACTTTGAAAATAAGGAAACTGTATCACAGACAATTCAAACAACTGGCTACTCCCAATGCACCTCTGGGCAATCTTTTTCACCTAATCTGTGGCATAAATAAGTGAGTGAGATTATTAATCATCAACTTTAATTTTGATTTCCTATTGCCTAAATTAGATCATTTGTTGTGATTAATTTAGGCAGGTTGACTGCAACAATGTAGTCATGGGTTGTTCTTTGTTAATTTAGCTCCTAGCCTCACAACATACATTAAAAAAATATTTAAAAGAGCATATGGATTGAAGAATTAAAAGTAAAAAGTGAAATTGTAAAAAGCCTAAATAAAATAGCTAAATATTATGCAACCATTAAAATGTATTATAATGAAGAATTTGTAATAGCATAAGAAATGTTACTATATAAAGGATGCAAAGTTATTTACAATAGCAAGGTGGACACATAAGGAACAAACCGCAGAGAAATAAAACAAAATGTCAGTAATCTCTGGGATATGAGATTATGGATAATTTTGCCCTTTTCATGCTTTTCTATATTTATTTATTTTTATTTATTTAAATTCAGGTCAGATAACATACAGTGTAGTCTTGGCTTCAGGTGTAGAACCCAGTGATTCAGCTCTTACATGTAACACCCAGTGCTCATCCTGAAAAGTGACTTCCTTAATGCCCATCACCCATTTGGCCCATCCCCCACTCACCTCCTCTCTGGCAACCTTCAGTTTATTCTCTGTACTTTAGAGTCTCTTGTGGTTTGCATCCCTCTCTGTTTTTATCTTATTTTTCCTTCCTTTCCCCTATGTTCCTCTGTTGAGAGTCTCAAATTCAACATATGAGTGAAATCCTATGATATCTGTTTTTCTCTGACTGATAGTGAAGTGAGATGTTTCTCTTCTATAATCAGGAAAAAATCAACATATTTTTTAAAGGCTATTGCATGAGTCCTAGAGAGAGATAATAACGGCCTGATCTTAGGTGTCATAGCAGAAATGGAAATGTGGGTAGAGAGAGGACATATCAAGGCTTTATGTGTGGGATGCAAGTAGGAATTGGAGGAGCCATCCAAATGTCTCTGACGGTTGGCACCCGAATACCAGTGAGTCAGAAGCAAGAGCAGTGTGGAAGGGTAACAACGGGTATGATTTCTGACAGTATGATACACGAATGCTTCCTAAAGGGCACTGCGATGAAGAGATTAAACAGCTTTTGGAAAATCCTGAATTGAAACTCAGAAAAGAAGCTGGGTATAGAGGTAGAGATTTCGAAGTCACTGACAAAAAAGTGTGACAGCTAGAATGGTAAGGATGAAAATGTTCCTCACAGAAAAGACTATGCTGAAGTCGTCTCTAAAGAAAACGGCATACATCTTACAGCCAGAGTATAAAAAATTGCCCACTTAAGAGTATGGGACACATTTTAAGATATCAGGTAAGAACTCAAACTGTCAAATGTTCTTAAAAGTCCTGTTCATATTAGGAAGAAAACATATATTTAAATATAAGTACCTAAAACAAACCCAATTTTATTTTTTTTAAGTTTATTTATTTATTTTGAGAGAGACAGAGACAGCATGAGTGGCAGAGGGGTAGAGAGAGAGAGAGAATCCCAAGCAGGCTCCACACTGTCGGCACAGAACCTGATGTGGGGCTCGAACTCACGAAACCGTGAGATCATGACCCAAGCCGAAATCAAGAGTCCAACACTTAACCAACTGAGCCACCAAGTCTCCCCAAACAAACCCAATTTTAGATAAACAGGATAACTCTCATTCAGAAGGGGACCAATACTCTCTCAAATAAAGCCAAGTTCTTGAAGCCTGATTGTTTTATAAATATTTCATAATGAAAATGTAGTCACATTTCAGTTAGTTTTCTGATCCTTACAGTTTCATCATACTTGGGCAAGTTTTATAATTCTATTTGAATGTAATCATCTTACACATATGAGCCAGTATATACACATTAATAATTGTCATTGATTACAAGGGGACCCAGGGAAGAGAATACAAACTGTCTCGTGAGAGGAAGTATTACTAGAAGAAAAACTATAAAAAGGTGGATTCCCACGAAAGGTGGGCTGGCCAAACCCACCTTCACATAAAGGGTGACACGGCATTAGGGTGGGCATTCCTCCCAAGCAGAGAACTTATTTTCTATTCATTTTTCATCAAATATTAAGACTATTTACAATTTAAGAGAACTTATCTATACTATAAATATAAGTATAAAATATTACCATTTTAATCCAATTCAATACATTTAGAACACACACCATGTTTACACAAGTAGAAATATCAAAAGACCTAAAAGATACTACACTAAACTTTTAAAACTATTCATTGCATATCATATATAAACTTGTGATTTATTAATTTTTTCATTTTAAATATTTATAATAGTATTTTAAGCAAATAAATTATGAAATTTCCATCTAGTTCCACAGGTTTTATATTAGATGGTTTCCCACGATATCCTGATGAGGCCCTGTTTCTGGGGGAACATGGGTTTTTCCCAGATGCTGCTGTTTTCATACAAGTTGATGATCAAGATGTTTCTGATCGCCTCCTTCCTTCCCAAATTGAAAAGTGGAAACTGAAACAAAAGAAGAAATTAGAAAGGAAAAAACACATCAAAGAAATGAAGGCAAAAATCAAGGTACATATCCAATAAAAAAAAATATGGGAGTAAATTTGTTCAGAATCTATTCAGGTTTTTTTTTTTATTTACTTTTTTTTTTTAACGTTTTATTTATTTTTGAGACAAAGAGAGACAGAGCATGAACGGGGGAGGGGCAGAGAGAGAGGGAGACACAGAATCGGAAGCAGGCTCCAGGCTCTGAGCCATCAGCCCAGAGCCCGACGCAGGGCTCGAACTCACGGACCGCGAGATCGTGACCTGAGCTGAAGTCGGCCGCTTAACCGACTGAGCCACCCAGGCGCCCCTCTATTCAGTTTTAAAGTGGTCTTTATAAAAATGTAGTTTTCTGATTTTAATGCCACAGTCAATATGAAAACACTTTTTATCAAATATTAAGACTATTTATAGGGGCACCTGGGTGGCTCAGTAAGTTAAACGTCCAACTCTTGATTTTGGCTCAGGCCATGACCTCACAGTTTTGAGCCCCATGTAGGGCTCCCTGCTGAGGGCAGAGCCTGCTTGGATCCTCTCTCTCCCTCCCTCTCTCTGTGGCCCTCCCTAACTCACTCATGCTCTCTCTTGCTCTCTCTCAAAAAAAAAATAAATGAACTTAAAAAAAAGACTATTTGCAATTAAAGAGTTACAAAATTATTTGAGGCCTATGTGATTTTTCAATGTGTTAATGCTTTTCTCTCCAAGGCAAATAAAATTCAAGATAGTGGTAGCACCAAAGTATCCCTACACCAGACACAGGAGCAAGGTGGGAGAGGCATCATAATTAAACTTTTCAGTGGCTTTTTCACTAGTTCCTGGAATGATGACCTATCCATCAAGGCCATATTGGCCATTAGTGAAACAAATCTATATATTGGTTTAGGACATCTTTTCTGAAACTATAATCTGAGGAGTATTACATAAAATCTTCAAAAGTGTCATAGGGAATCCAGCAATTCTACTTTTAGGAATCTATCTAACAGAAATACAAATATATCCACGTAAAAATTGATATATGAATGTTCATAACAGCATTATTCGTAACAGACAAAAAGCAAAAACCACTCAATATCCACCAACTGATGAATGGATAAACAAAATGTGTTAGACACCCAGATAGAGTGCCGTGGGTTCCCACCCAAGATGGCAACATAAGAGCCTCCTGAATTCATCTCCTCCCACAGACACACTAAATCCACAACTACACATGAAGCAGTTCCCTCTGAAAGAAATTCGGAAACTAGCTGAATGACTCCTATACATTGAGCAAATGAGAAAACACCCATATCACCCACATCAAAACAGTTGCTGCCTGAGAGTCCAGCTTCCAATCAGCCTATGCTGTTGGCTTTCCTCCCCTTTGGGACACTGACAGGTTGCGGCCACCCTTAACTACTGGGAGCTACTGAGAGCAAAGAAAGTAGGTCTGACAATCACACAGGTTTGAGAGACAGCCAAGAACTCAGTCCAGGCTGACTGATAAGGTTCACCTCCTCCCCAAGCCCACTCTGTGAAGACTAGGAAATGTGGCCCTTTGTCTAATGTGCAGAAACCAACCCAGAGTCAAAGAAAATGAAGAAGCAGAGGAATATATTTTAAATAAACACTCCAGAAATAGACCTTATTGAAACGAAGATAAATGATCTACCTGATAAAGAGTTCAAAATAATGTTCATAAAGATACTCACCGAGGCAGGAGAACAATGCATGAACAGAGTGAGAATTTCAACAGAGATAGAAAATACAGGAAAGTTCCAAACAAATCACAGAACTGAAGAATATGATAACTGAACTGAAAAATTCAATAGAGGAGTTCAATAGCAGACTAGACACATAGATCAATGGAACAGAACAGAGAGCCCAGAAATAACCCCATGCATATACTCTCAACTAATTTATAAGAAGAGAGCCAAAGATACACGGCAGAGAAAGAATAGTCTCTTCAGCAAATGCTGAGAAAACTGGACAGCCACCTGCAAAAGAATGAAACTACCCTATATATATTATACAAAAAATCAACTCAAAATAGATTAAAGAGTTGGACATAAGACCTGAAACCATAAAACTTCTAAAAGAAAACATAGGGGATAAGCTCCTTGACATTGGTCTTAATTAGTTTTTTGGATTTGACACCAAAAGCAAAAGTCAACAAATGGGAACTATATCAAACTAAAAGCCTTCTGCACAACAAAGGAAACCATCAATGAAATGAAAAGTTAATTTACTGAGTGAGAGAAAATATTTACGAATCACATCTGATTTACATCTGATAAGGAATTGAAATCCACAATATCTGGAGGACTTGTATAGCTCAATGCAAAAAAAAAAAAAAAAAAAAAAAAAAAAAAAAAAAAAACCCCATCTGATTAAAAAAATAGATTGAAAATATGAAAAAAATCAGATGAACTGAATAGACATTTTTACAAAAAAAAAGACATACAGATGGTCAATAGGTACATGAAAAAGTGTTCAAGATCACTAATCATCGGGGAAATGCAAATCAAAATCACAATGAGATATCACCTTATACTTGTTAGAATGGCTGTCATCAAAAGACAAGAGATAGCAAATGTTGGCTAAGTTATAGAGAAAAGGAAACCCTTTGCACTGTTGGTGGGAATGTAAACTGGTACAACCCCTGTGGAAAATAGCCTGGAAGTTTCTAAAAAATTTTAAAATAGAACTACCATATAATCCAGCAATCCTACTTCTGGGATAAGTATCCATAGGAAATGAAAACGGGATATTTACACCTCCGTGTTCATTGCAGCACTATTCACAGTAGCCAAAACGTGAGAGCAACCTAGGAGTCTGTCAACGAATGAATGGATAAAAAAGACATTGTGGGGGCGCCTGGGTGGCGCAGTCGGTTAAGCGTCCGACTTCAGCCAGGTCACGATCTCGCGGTCCGTGAGTTCGAGCCCCGCGTCGGGCTCTGGGCTGATGGCTCAGAGCCTGGAGCCTGTTTCCGATTCTGTGTCTCCCTCTCTCTCTGCCCCTCCCCCGTTCATGCTCTGTCTCTCTCTGTCCCAAAAATAAATAAGAAACGTTTGGAAAAAAAAAAATAAAAATAAAAAAAGACATTGTGTTTATATGTACGAGATATTATTCAGTCATGATAAAGAAGGAAATCCTGCCATTTGCAACAACATGGAAGGACTTTGAGGGCATTATGCTAAGTGAAATAAGCCAGACAGGGAAAGACAAATACTGCATGGTATCACTTATATGCGGAATCTAAAGAAATTCACACTTACAGAAATAGAAGAAAAGTGGTTGCCAGGAGCTGAGGGGTGGGAGAAATAGAAATTGGTAACAGGTACAAACTTTCAGCTATAAAATGAATAAGATCTGAGGATTTAATGTATAATATGTGACTATAGCTGGTAATACTGAATTGTATAATCAAAATTTGCTAATAGAGTAGAACTTAAATGTTAAAAAAAGATAAATATGTGAGGCGATGGAAGTGTTCATGAAATGGGAGGGGTCCTTTTACTATGTATACATATATCAAATCATCACAATTTACACTTTAAATATCTTAAAATTTGATGAGGCTGGATGAATGAATGAATAAGTCAATGAAGTGAATGAATAAGTGGTATATCTAAGTAATGTTGATACTATTCACTATTAAAAAAAGAATGAACTATTGACACACCTTACAACACAGATAAAAATCATTATGCTTAGCGAAAGAAGAGCCAGGCTTAAAAAAAAAAAAAAAAATAGTACATACTATATGATTCATTCCATTCCATTTATAAGACATGTCTTGAAAGAGTGAATCTATAAATCTGGGCTGGGGTGAAAATAATGGGGCTTTCAAATCTGGAACTAGGAAGACTAAGATGCAACATGAGAGCAGTGTTAAATAATTTGAAGGGCTTTCATGCTGAAGAGAGCTTAGTTGTTCCATAGGGCCACAGGGAGGAACTACTATTGGTAGGAGGAAGGTACAGGGAGATGTATTTCATTATTAGTAAGAGTTTCAAAAAAAAAAAAAATACAAACAAAACCCAAAATTGAAGGTAATGAGCCACTTGTCAATAGATAAGCTAATCAACTAATTCCAATTCTGAGATAATATGACTTAAATTATTCAATACATTATTAGGCTATTATATTTTATTATAATGATAAAAGATTATCAAACTTGTTTTTAAGTTTACTTATTTTGAGAGAGTGAGAGTGTGAGCAGGAGAGGGGGGAGAGAGAGAGAGAGAGAATCCCAAGCAGGCTCCAAGCTGTTGCACAGAGCCCAATACAGGGCTCAAACCCACAAACTGTGAGATCATGACTTGAGCCAAAATCAAGAGTCAAATGCTTTACTGACTGAGCCACCCAGGTGCCCCTAGATTATCAAACATTTTTAACAAATTATTTCCAACTATTTCCTTATTTCTCCATATACATAATCTACCTAATTACCAAAGCAAACTAACAGATGATAAATTCAAAAAGGTGTTCTAAAATTTGTAGGAAGAGTGGCAGCCCCCAAATGTTGTTTATCCCTCTGGAGGGAAATCGCTGATCAAAAGTTCCAGAGCTACAAGGATATAGTAGCATAATTACCACCATCACATGCTTTTCTGGAAATTCACCATCCTTCCATCCAAATGCTATTCCCACCTCGGGAAACATATATACATACATATGCATACATATACACATGTATGTATATATGTATGCATATGTATGTATATGTACGTGTGTATATATGTATATATGTTTATATATGTATATGTATACATGTATATATGTGTATATATGTATGTATATATGTGTATATATGTATGTATATATGTGTGTGTATAATATACATATATATTAATACACAAAAAATAATTTTATCCATTAAAATGTTTTAATGTCTCCTTCTTTAACAGGATGATATGATTTCTAAAAGAAGGGCTGAACTTATAGCAGAGAGAGAGAAAAAACAGAAAGGGGAGGTAAGTAAATAAAATTGCTGCCTTTTAAAAAAAGAATATCCCTAATATAATGTTTATATATATTATATTATATATGTTTTTATATATCAACAATATAAAATAAAAAGATGCATAGAAAAAGTCTTGAGGGGTATATGGGTGACTCAGTTGAGCATCTGACTTGATTTCGACTCAGGTCATGATCCCAGGGGCGTGGGATAGAGCCCCCCTTTGGCCTCCATGCTGAGTGTGGAGCCTGCTTAAGATTCTCTCTCTCCCTCTGACCCTCTCCCCTGCTCACTTTCTCTCTCTCTCTAAAAAAAATAAATGAAAATAAATTAAAAAAAGAAAAAGTCTTGAAAGAAGTACACAGAGTTTACATATGAGAAGTAAGATTATATATCACTGTTTTTCTTTATACTTTTTGTTTTTCCATAATTGTTTACAATGACCCTTTATTATTTTTATAATCAGAAAACTGAACATTTTTAAAGGAAAGAAAACCACGAAAGAAGTTTAAATAATCTAATTCAAGATATAATACCACATTAACCTATGCTTCTTTTGGATTTTCATTTTTGCATTCCAGCCTTCCAGTCCACGCACAGGGAGATAGGCTGGGAGCCTAGGACTGAGGTCTAGACAGAGAGACTGTAAAGCTGTGTTGGAACTAAAATATAGATTATGCCGAGATAAAGAATGGAATGAGACAGCGCCTGTGAACCCTCAGACTCATATATTGTACAGGCTGCTCAGTACAGCTCCTTTTCTCCACCTGCTGATTTTTTGAAAAGATAAACCTTGAAGATTGTAGATTTTGTTTTGTTTGGAGAGGAACTATTCCCAAAATGACGTAGCCTACCCCAGTGCTACAGCCAAGCTCACTCAGGGGTATAGAATTTAAAGAGGAGGTGTGATGAGACATGCTAGTTCTGTGAAGTTACCTGGGGCTCGTATGTATAGTCAGCTTACAAGTAATCCCCGTAACCAAGGCAAACAATGAGATGCTTCCTGCCTTCTCCCATTTCCTTCTGACCATCTTTTCAACACTGACTCTCAAGACTATGATCTGATACCTAAATTGGTATCCTTTCTCCAGGTCTTGCTGACTTTGTTCATTGCTGGCTCTCCAGTGCCTCACATAGTGCTGACACATAGTAGGCACTCACCAGTTGTTTTGTTGCTGTTGTATAACCTTGAGCAGGTTTCTTAATCTCTCTGAGCTTAGGCTTTTTCGTTGTAAAATAGAACAAAATTAACAATATCTAGTGTCCTGAATTAATAATACTTTAATTTCCCTTCCCTGCTATTCTTTTTTTTTAAGTATCATTTATTGACAAATTGGTTTCCATACAACACCCAGTGCTCATCCCAACAAGTGCCCTCAATGCCCATCACCCACTTTCCCCTCTCTCCTACCCCCCATCAACCCTCAGTTTGTTCTCAGTATCCAAGAATCTCTTATGGTTTGTCTCCCTCCCTTTCTGTAACTTTTTCCCCCTTATTCTTTAATTAAATCTGCTTTTTCTTTTTTAAATTTTTATTTAATTTATTTGTTAATTAAATCCAAGTTAGCATATAGTGCAACAATGTTAATCTTTTTCTTAAGAAAATCAGTTTTCAGGATAAATTTTAAATGTTCCTGATTTATCATTTTTCTATTTGTTAACATTAGAATGGTGGGATTTCTTACTATTTTTCATTTAAAAATTCAATATTCTATCTTAAAAATTAAATCATGGTTTTTTTAAATGTTCATTTATTTATTTAGAGTGAGAGAGAGCACACAAGTGGGGCAGGGGCAGAGGAAGAGAAAGAATCTCAAGCAGCCTCCACACTGTCAGCACAGAGCTCGATGGGGGCTCACCCTCGTGAAACCATGAGATCATGACCTGAGTTGGGCACTTAACTGACTGAGCCATCCAGGCACCCATAAGTAGGTTTTGTATAAGTTAGCTCTCCCAAGACTTAATCTTTCACAAAATTGGCTATGTATGTCACACAATTAATTTACACAAACCAACTTTGGGAAGATAATTCCTGAGATTTTTGATGAATCAAAGATGAAAACTGTGTATTGACCTTTTAAAATTTCTTTGATGAGAATTTTATATGTCCTGCTACTGCCTCAGACAAAGAAAGACTAAACAAAATGTAGCATGTCTAGGTTCACGCAGTGTGATAGTTATAACAAGTTAATGTGACTTCCTGACTCTGCATAGATGCTGGGGCTTGCTTTCAAAAGAACAGAGACCTTCTCATCATTTGCCTTTTGTATAGGATATGCAGCTCCATTACTCACCTTTTCATAACAAATTGGGGAACCACGTACAAATAAAGCCCCTCCCAGGTTTGTCTTCTCATCCATCCTTCACAAAGATCATTGCCCTTACTGTATGATTTTTTTTCCGACAGATAACACATTTTTTTAACATTAGAAATGATCTTAGTCTCAAGGTGGCTACTTGCATTAATTTCATAGGAAAATGTTGCCACCTTGTGGAATTTTAGTCTCCAAGTGTGATGATGAATAATCTCTAAGCCAGCCCCTTCTCATGTTTAGTTTGCATACTTTCCAGCTCCTCAGAGGCCTTGCTTCTACTCCTATTTCTTGCTTCAGAATCTTGGTTCTCTTCCTGTTGTTTGCTGGCTCCTTCTCTGGTGCCTCAGTCTCTTCTGTCAAGTTATGCGTAGCCACAGACAGGAGAAAGCCAGAAACAGCCAGTATAGTGAGCCAGGGCTGCAAGTCAGCAGAACAGTGAGGGACTACACCCAGATAAATAGTTAATTCAGATAAATACCGTAAGTACTAAGGGGAAGCCGAAGCCAGGGTCCAAATGAGGTTGAAACAAGGTTAAGGACCAAGCACCAGGCCAAGACCATCCTTGAGGCCTTCTAGGGAGAAGGCAGGGTGTATAGGCCCCCAGGTCTATGTGCAGAGAGCACTTTGGGATGGAGCAGAAAGCTAAGGTTGGGTGGGAGGGTGGGCGGAGGGTACAGGCTGGGGATTGAGTTCTTTTTAAGTTTTTATTTAAATTCTCATTAGTTAACATACAGTGTAATATTAGTTTCAGGTGTACAATATAGTGATTCAGCATTCCCATAATCTCCCAGTGCTTGAGTTTTAAGGTTTTGAAAACAAACAGTTTGGAATAGTGTCTCAAAATCCAGATTTAGAAGACAACCTCACCCCCCAGCACCGACCCCCCCTCCCCCCACCAGCCATGTATCGTAAGGGAATCTAGTGTCTGACTAACATGCATCTGTATTGGGAAGCCTCAGAACTCTGACAAGTCTTTCACTTCTCCTCTATTTCTGCCTATCTCATTTCCTCCCTAGTTGTAAGCATTCTGACTATAACCTCCACCACCCCCCTGGCATAACCTTCTACTCAGTTATAGCCTTGCCCCTACTTTCTGGTACTGCTAGAAAGCTATGAGACAGTTTACCCCAAAGCTAGCCCTGTTTCTCAGAGACCATGAGTTTTGTTTCCTGTTGTCCCCTTTCTTTTTTCTTTTCCCTTTCCAGCCTTCTCTGGGATTGGTTGAATGTATTTTAGGAATCCATTTTATTTATCTTTTGGCTTTTTAGTTATACCTCTCTGTGTTTTTTTTAATGGTTGCTCTCTATTACATATACATCCTTACCTTTTCCCACTCTACTTAGAGTCAATATTATTCCATGTAATAGTGTAGAAAGCTGTGACTGTATAAATCCAGTTACGCCCACCAATATCCTGTATGTTCTAGTGGTCATTTGTTTTACAACCAAGTGGATTATAAACTCCATAAGAAAAAAATATATATAGTTTTTGTTTTAAATAGTCATATGTATTTTAAATATATTGAGAGGAAAATAAATCTTCCTTTACATTTATCCAGATATTTAACCTTTTCTGTTGTTCTTTATTCATTCCTCTGGTGTGAGGGAAATCAGAGGGATGAGAAGAATGTGGTCATCTGAATTGTTTTCCTGTATGATTTTTCTTGGCTGCTTTCAGCCAAGAAATCTTTTTCAATGGTGTGATTATGATATGCCTACATGTCATTTTCTTTATATTTATCTAGTTTGGGGTTGACTAGTCATCTCCAGTCTGTTAAATCCATCTGATATTTTTTTTAATTTCAAATATTGTATTTTTTTAGTTCTAATTTACATTTTGGTTTGTTTTTATTTCCCTCCTGAGGTTTCTTATCTTTTCATTTATTATGAGTGTATTTTCCTTTTCCTCATTGGTCGTAGGGATAACAACTGCTTTAAAGTTCTTGTTTTGTAACTCTAGTACCTGGAGTGGGTATTTGTTGATATCATTTCTTATGAGAATGGGTCATGTCTCATGATCCTTTATACTTTGAATAATTTTGGAGTATTATAACTTTTGAATTATGAGTGTTATATTATGTAGATTCTGAATTCTGTTAGCTCCACGAGTGTTTTTGTTTTAGCAGGCAATTTATTTGGTAAGACTAAGCCTGTAAACTCTGTCAAACTAACAATTCAATTTATACTGTTCTCAAACAGTCCATATGTGCATGGTTCAGAGATGTGGAAAGTCTGTATAAACTAATTTGTTGTTTCCTTCTCCGGTTCTCTCAATTCTGAAGTTTACCCTCACTCTCCGGTATCCTGGTTGTGTCTCCTTCCTCTGGTTGCTCCAGCTGGAAAGACACTAAAGTTTCCTATCAGAATTTTAGTCTCCCTGTGCCATCACCACTCTAATGGAGGCTGCCCTCTGAGCAAGGGCACAAAATCAGAGAATTCACCTTTAACCAGCTGCTCACTCCAAATTTTTGCTGCTTTCCAAATCTGCCTTTGTTTACTCTCCAGAGCTTCTTAAATGAGTGGGAGAAAGTGGTGTGTGTGTGTGTGTGTGTGTGTGTGTGTGTGTGTGTGTTGGGGTGGGGGGAGGGGTGTTCATGGTTTATGGTTATTATCTGCTAGAGGCTAAATTAACTTATTCCTTCATACTAGAGGCAGATCTCTGAGACCATGAACTTTAGAAGATATATCTCCTAACATAA